AATCTATTAAGATCTCAAATTCGATTCAATATTTAAGAATCAAACCCAATGAGCTGCAATTTTGACCTATCTATTTGAAAGTGAAAGTGGATAACCTGTAATCTTTATATGTAGATATTCAACACTTTCTATCATTCCAATTATTATTTTAGCCCTTGTTTGGTGCGTATTTTTCCGAAAGTGAGAATGAAAAATTATGTCGATATACAGTGAACCTAACCCACTTTGGCAATCATGTTTGATTGTGTTGCCTAAATCAGTTGAAAAAAATTTGTGAAAATACCATGTTGCGCCTCACTCGTTCTATGAAAAAAAAGAAAGACAATTATGACATTTCAAATGCCAAAAGACGGCTGACTTTTGTGTTTTCAAATGCATTATTATCATCATATTATTTAATAGATTTATTCTCTATTCTTTGTGTTGTAATGAAGAAATTCTTGCCTCAAGATTCCTATTTTAGAAAAAATTTGGTTTATTACTTGAATGGTTGTGTGATAACAATGAAGATGAAAAATGAACATTTCTTAGAGTGAATGGTTGTGTAGTATTAAATTTTTTATTTGGGTTTGTGGAATGCAGCAATTGAAAGCTTTCCCGTCTTTGTAATTCCAGAGATGAAGATTTGTGTATTTTTTTAATTCTTCAACTTGGTTGTGGGAAAGTAGTCCATGATACTCCTACATTTTCATGAGTGTCCATGCATATTGTTCACACATCCATTTGATTTTGTAGTATTTACCCCTCTTATTCACAAAAAATAGATGTCTTAGGACTACAATGCGCTTTAAGTGCAAGGAAAACAATGACATGTGCTTATAGTATGAAACCACATACATTAAATGTGGATAAAGTATCCAGAATAAGTTTCTAATTAGTGTTTCAATTAATTGAGTAAAACTTTCAATGACAAACTAGAAAGTATTCTGGCTCATACTTTATTAAGGAGCAAGGACAAATTTCCGAGACAACAAGAGTCTTCTTGCAAGTGAGATATTTTAACTAAATTAAATGCTAAATATCTCACAGGAAAATTGGAATTATGTGCTTTTCAATCTTGAGAAATAATATTTGGGATTTGTCTATCATTGATTGTTAAAACTCACCATTATGTTTGTAATAAATATGTCGAGGTAGGAGTTTAATTTTTTGCTTTTAGTTATGTAAAAATCAGAAAACTTCATATTTGATTAGTGCAGGGTTATAGTGGGTGTGTTTAAAAAAAAAACTATGTTCTAAACGGAGACCGTGTCTGGACTCCGTGTGAGTATGGAGGCACACGGAGGCACCTTCGTGCGCACACGGAGACACCTCGTGTGCGCACGGAGTTTTTATTTTTAATTTTTAAAATACCAATAACAATGTTTCTTAAAGCAATCAACAAATTTTTCTTTTAAGTCATTTTTTTTTTTTACATTGCTACTAATAACAATGTTTTTTTCACTCACATTCTAAACTACATGTAAGTCCATTTCCTTATAATTGGTTACTAGCTACATAAAGTGTACTGTCATCTGCACATTTACTGTATTTTTAACATTTCCAACTAAACTTTGTTTCCCAACAGAAATATGAAGTTCGAAAGCATATGACATGCTCATTTTCAGTTCCTATAAATGTTAGAACCAGAAGCTTAAGGCAAACAGATTCATCTGGAGGTTTAATAAGTGTAATATCAGTAGTTCAGAGGTCTTCAACAAATGACAATACCTTCCCAGATATATCCCCTGAAAGAGAAGGTGTCAACGTCTGTATATGTTATTAATTCTTTTAAATGTTGAATCCAATATTAATATCCATATTCAGTGAACCACATTTCACTTACGTGGTTAGTCGTGTTTGCAATGGAAAGCACTATACTTAAATTCCGAAATAACCTTCATTACCTTGTTCTTTTTCATGGAACATTCGTTTCGTTGATATATGTTTGTGTTTATTAGTTATTCTTTTTCTTCCGATAAAATTTTGAGTTTGTGACTGATTGTGCAATTAATTAAATTAATTATTTTGCTATCTCAAACCTGAAACATCCCCTTCCTAATGGTGTAATCTATCTGTTTATATCTGTTTTTATTTTGTTTATTCTCTTTATTTTATCAAATTATTTTATTTGTTATTTATAATATTTTTCAATTGCATAAAGAAATCGGAGCTTAAATTAACATGGACTCATTCCAATCATCAGTTTATGAATAAATCACCAGACAAACCTTAAAAATATTTTCTGACGTAACTCAAAATGTTGTTTTATGATTTTCATTAAAAAATCTAGAAGATTACAATTTCTTAAGTTTTCCTCTGCGAATTTATCTAAATCACACCCATGTTAAAATTTATTTGTGTTTCTGATTTATTAATTATAAATATGTTCCCATTTT